ACGCTGATCTCTCTGAAAGTGGCCGGAGCCAGCCGTAAGATCACGGCTGGCTCCGCCCAGCTGTCAGAAGCAGGCTGTCGGCCAGCCAATGGCCGGCCGCTCGGCCAGCTTCGGCTTTCAGCACGGCTCAGCGCTCGACTGAGCTGCTCGGCCGTGATCGGGAGCTGTATGGGCTATTGTGAATAGCCCGTACAGCACCCCCTCGGCTCTCCTGAACCGAAGGGGTCCTGGGGCCGAAGGATCGGCCGAAGCTACGGCCAGATCCTTCGGCAGCTTTGTGAATAGACCCCTAAGTATTTATTTCACATTTAAGCACTGGTGAGCTGCAGTATCTTACACTTTTGTTTTGGCTTTAAATACACTTCATTGTGGGCATTAACGTAGTACTAAACTCTGAAACTTTTTTTTTCCCAGTAATGAATCCAGATCAAACAAATATACATTGCCCAGCAAAGTATTTTTGTATTTTTGTATATTTTTGACCAAGCACTTACAGTCATCATATGCCCAGCAACTGTTCATTTACTAGCCTGTAGACAGGTGGAGGGAGGAGAGGGGGCCAGGGGGGAGGGGAATAACTTAATTTGCTCTGTCCGTATTAATGGAGACGCACACAGCTTACTAGTACATGTAATGGTAGCTCCATAGGACCCTGCAAGGGAAATGAGTCACCCTAAAACACAATATCAGAGCCACTGCTCAGGGGATGAGCTTATTTTCCAGGAAACTAAAACTTTTCAACATCAAGGAGCAGCATCCGTTGTAAGTGATTTAATCAACATTTGTAATAGCTTAAAAACCCTTTGGTTTTAATATTACTTTAATCAAGTGGCCTGATATATAGATGACCACCAGAGGGAGCATTTACAAATGTATTCAATGAAATTCAGTCATCCAAACATTGGAAAAAAGATTTTGTTGGTAAACATTCAATAACTCAATGGGGGGAATTGATCAAAACTGGAGCAGATCAAATCTGGAGCAGTGGCAGCCTGCATAATATTTACTTTTAGTGTATTTAAACTCTTAGAATAAAAATACAATGGGGGGAATTTATCATTACTGGAGCAGAAGATTTTGGAGCAGTTGCCCATAGCAACCAATCAGCTTCTCTCTTCAGTTTGTTCAGTTAAGCTTTAAAAATGAAAGAAGCTGATTGGTTGCCATGGGCATTAATTCCCCCCAATGTGTTTTCTTTGGGCCTAATGCCCAACTCTAGCCAAAACTTTTTTTGTTTATCTTGGATATAGTAGGGAAGGGTTAGAAGCTCTATCAGGCTTTTATTGCCGTGTCTCTACCCGGGAGATTTTTCATATGTCCTATACTGAAGACCAGGGATGCACTCAGTTTTGGATTGAACTCAGCCCAAACCTGAGCTCCTCTGAACATAGAAGGAAGCTCCTGCTTCCCCCCAAGCAGCTGCGGCCAGGGAATTCTCCAACCACAGGTGCACGTAAGCAAAAGGGTGGGACATTGTGGCCTTATATAGCTACATGGCTATATTTGGCCATATAAGGTAATGACCATGTGGCCATATAAGGTAATGACCATGTGGCCATATAAGGTAATGACCATGTGGCCATATAAGGTCAATAATGTCAGCAGCAGAATCCCATACTTTTGTTTATGTGCAGCTGTGGGATCAGGGCCGTCCCTACCTTATACGCCGCCTGAGGTGGCCAGGAGAAAGGGGGAGCAGTGGGTTAAACCGAGGTGTCAGCCAGGCAGGAGGAGGCTGAGCTGTTAGCTGGACAGGAGGCTG